GGCGTGCGTGCGTGCGTGCGTGCGTGCGGGCGTGCGTGCGTGCGTGCGTGCGTGCGTGCGTGCGTGCGTGCGTGCGTGCGTGCGTGCGCGTGCGTGCGTGCGTGCGTGCGTGCGTGCGTGCGTGCGTGCGTGCGTGCGTGCGTGCGTGCGTGCGTGCGTGCGTGCGTGCGCGCGTGCGTGCGTGCGTGCGTGCGTGGTGCGTGCGTGCGTGCGTGCGTGCGTGCGTGCGTGCGTGCGTGCGTGCGGCGTGCGTGCGTGCGTGCGTGCGTGCGTGCGTGCGTGGCGCGTGCGTGCGTGCGTGCGTGCGTGCGTGCGTGCGTGCGTGCGTGCGTGCGTGCGTGCGTGCGTGCGTGCGTGCGTGCGTGCGTGCGTGCGTGCGTGCGTGCGTGCGCGCGTGCGTGCGTGCGTGCGTGCGTGCGTGCGTGCGTGCGTGCGTGCGTGCGTGCGTGCGTGCGTGCGTGCGTGCGTGCGTGTGTGTGTGTGTGTGTGTGTGTAATACAGATAATCACGCAATCGATACTTACATTAATTATAATAATTGTTCTATACTGGAAAATGTGATCATCACTAAATAGTAACGTTTTAATTAGGGTTTTTAACATTTTGAGATAATAACAATAAAGTATCATATTTTCATAATCATAATAAGCTCACAATTTAATTATATACTTGGTAGAGCCATGCTGCAGATATATTAGTAGTATAGTTGTAACATGAATGGGTCGGCTCGACCGAGGAAGGACCACGCTCACACAGAATACCAGCGTAAAATAGCAGATTAAAGCTGTGTTTCGTATGGTGATTGTAGAGAACTGGCGACCCTTTTACTGGAAACGAGGCATTCCATCTTGGTCCTCATGGGTGACAACGCATCTGCATTTTGATTCGTAATCGCGGATAGATGTAGATGTCCATGGGCCACAGCAACCACTTACCATCAGATGCACTTTGTGCTCGTTTATCACTCCATCCTATAAAAAAAACCACTGCTGAAAACGGGCCTTCCCCAAATATCATAGGAAGGAAGATATTAATATACTACAGTAAACATATAAACTTTTACAAAGTAAAATTGCAGAAAAGTGAGATTTTAAAAACACACAAGTAGTAATATTTTTAAAAGCCTCTTTAATTACTTATTGACATGCACCACGCCTCCTGTGCTTTACATTCAAAATAAGCCTTAAAACTTACGCCATTAAGTCTAACGTCCCACTGCATCAGAGACGCGTCGTCAGGTTTCGACAGTGGTTGAAGGAGTCGTAAAGGTCTCGATCCACTTTTAACGTGTTTTGGCAGCTCCCCGTCCGAACCATTGGGGCCAAGTGACCATAAAACTTGAGTTGTATCTTCCTGTAAAGAAATATTAAACTATGAATTTTTAATTGTACAAGATCACCGTATTGGTGTATTATGCAATATGAGTTGAAAGAACTGAACAAGGTCAATAGAGTAGTAGAGTCACGATGCAGCTAAATACGAATAAGTCGGCTCGTCCGGGGAAGGACCTCGCTCTTACAGAATGCTAGCGTAATGCTGCTGTATTTCGTCAGGTGAGTCTAGAGAAGCATTTTATCTTAGTCCTCAGGGGCGACAACGCATCTGCATTTTGTTTCTTAATCGAGCACAGATGGAGATGTCTATGGGCCACAGAATTCAGTTACCATCAGGTGGACTGCATTTTTATTTATGAAAATGTAATGTATGTACATTATTAATAGCTTTTTTAAGTATAAAGATGTTCATACTTTAAACACTAGGAACAAACATAAGCTTGTAATACCTACCAGTTACTAGACTCCACAGAATTAATAATTCATTCATTGGGCAATGTATACACTTTTGTAACAAAATCCCAAAAAATGTACAAACTTTGTCATTAGAGAAAAGTATTTCATCTTAGTCCTCGGGGGCGACAACGCATCTGCAAAAATCTCCATCAATCCTCGATTAAAAATCAAAATGATTCTTAATCGAGGATAGATGGAGATGTCTATGGCCCACAGAATTCAGGTCATTCATTCTGTTAGTTATTCATTTATGGGGCAAAAATATACGCTTTTGCAACAAAATCACAGTAAATGTACAAAATTTGTTTAAATGATTTATTAAAGAAAAATTGTACAAAAAGGGTTATTATAATATCAAAGAATACATAAATGAAAATAACCCCTGGGAGTGTGATGATCGCCACCACCATGCTGGTTCTGTGAAAAAATTCATTCAAAAATTGTACAAAATAAATTATTGTAAAGTGAAATATGTTTAAAAAAACGTCCCGATGGGTTTCTTGCTGGTTCTTTCAAGGACAGAGGTTTTTTTCGAACCAGTGCTAAATAAAACAAAATTACTTTCAATAAGTATTATGCAATAATCTATATTGAGTAAAAAATCATTCATTTCATTTCGAGATATTAGGTTTTTTGATATAAAATGAAAATGTTATAATGTTCAAAATAAATTATATTTATCAGATACCTTATTACTATACGTATTTTTTAATTAAAAATGAAATCTCTTCTTTAAAATCTATGTATCAAATCTTTTCCGAAGCGTCGTTCCGAAAAATCTGAGAAATAATAAATATGCTAGCAAATTGAAATTTGCAGAAATTTAAAAAAAAATACAACTCACGCCAATAACGAAGTCCTGTCGATCGCACGTGTCTAACTGACGTCTGAATTCCACGGTAGTGTGCGTGTCGTTCTGATAGCCCGATATCAGCTCGTAGTTTTGCACATCATCCGCAACCGCACGGTCTTCGAAGTCCGGTCCGTGACAGTCCTGCGAATAAAAATAGAAATCCTGATAAGAAATGTAAAGGTTCTAGCATAAACGCGGAAGGAATTTGATTTATGGAAAAAGAGTTCATTGAAATTGAAGGTCTACAGTTGAACTTCTTAGAAATCATGCAAATATTTTTTGTATTGAATCCAAGAAAGAAACGTCGCGTCTTGCATAATTATAATAATTATGACCAGATATTATGTTTATGTATCTAAATTAGTTCGCTTTTTATCCTACATTAATGAAAAGTTAGTAAGTTAAGTAGTAGTAGTAATTGTTAGTATTAATTAAGTGTAGTGTAGTATAGCTTGGCAATGGAGTGATTAGGGCGAGACCAAAATCAAAATGCACCAGTGTGCGTGTAATGTGCATGTGTATGTGAAAAGTAGATTGAGATTTTGCAAATGAGCATTTTTCAAAACAAATGATCGGTGCAACTTAGCTGGAACATTTTGTGTCAAAAAATATGTGTATTATATCACACATAAGCAGATAGATAGATAAAAAATGTATGTAACGAAATAAAATATATTGTGTAAATTGTAATAAAATTGTATTTATACAAGCGGGATTTGTTTTTTTTTCACGTCACGAATGACGCCAGGCCGATACAGGCCGATAGCATGTACGTGAATGGTCTAGCCTATCTTTCTCGCTCTAACGTACGCGTAAACTATGATCATTCTCTTTTGCATTTCCAATCTATTCTAACGTAAGTTAATGCTAAATCTATGGCATTAATAGAAACATAACACGTAATAGGTAAAAGAAAGCCTCAAAGAGTTAGAATGATAAATTATATCTATCGAAAAAATGTATTCTAACAATCAATAAACTCCTAAAGGATGTTTAAAATAATTTAAATTAAATACATTTTATTCCAATAGTTGGTAGGACTGCTTTTCCGCCTGTCTCCGCCGTTAGTTCTACTGGTAGTCCTACTAGCCTCGTAACTATTTCTGCCGCCAAACAGCACTTGCAAAAAAAATTGTTGTGAGACATTCCATCTTAGTCCTCAGAGGTTACAAAGTATCTGTAGCTTTCTTTAATGAGTTTTCTCTTAGTTTCTGTATTAGTTTCAGGAGTCCAAGGTAAAGGTACTTAACATCAGATTGACTGTAAAATCGTTTATCACTTCAATTTTATCCAAAAAAAAGCAAATTCGCATCATTCACACACAGGCTTATTAACATCTTGATGGTTTTTATGATTACGTAATAAAAACAACTAATTAGCCTTTAAACTATTAAAGTCCAAAAATTAGACAGTAAATTCGCGTGAAACGTAAAAAATAAAATAAAAAAAGCTAGTTTTGTTCGCGTGAGATCATTATAATTGATGAGTTCTTTGGCCTATGTGGTTAGGAGTCAAATGTTTCCTATTTAATATAAAACCATTTGCAAGATAAAACTAATAATACTAGATACCTATTTGAACTAGCATAAAAATTGATTGTTTTTACCGTTGAAGCAATATATAATACGAAAATTATTAATATATGTAATTTAAAAAAAATTACCATTATAGTTATGTGATTTAGTCAAGTGTCTAATTGTGCGATCATCAAGTCTTTCCTTACTTCCTTCATCAACCTTCAAACTTTGGCGAACTTTTCCTTTTGACGTGCTCATCAACTAACTACAACTCTACTTCTTGAAGGTGCATGGCCTTACAAACCATGCAATATTTTTAACCTAAATTCGCCGAACCTTCGATTGTTGATCGAAGCGCTGAACGCTGATTTAAAGTTTATAGAGTTGAACAATTTTTTCAAGAGTCACCAACACGTGTGCTGAACCACAATCGCGTAAATCCTGTGTCGGGATAAACCCTTCACAACCCACACCACCCTATACGGGTGAACGTATAAAGATTATTCATCGGAAGCGATTTGATAACTTGTTCTCTATATATGGACAAGCCAAATACGCCTCTATTTATCCTGCGCCCTCTTTTTCCCCGCGCCCTCTTTTCCCAAAAGAGGGTCGCTCATGATAAGCCACAATAGAGCTTAATCAGCCGGTTGCCTGTCCCCAAAGGCGGTTTTTAGGGGGTATCACTTAGGGTCCCCGGTAGGACAGTGAGTCCCCCATAACCACGATAGACCGGCTATCGTGGTATGCGTAATGCATTTTCCGCCTCCCTACGTACAGGGTAGCCCTTTAATTGCTTCGGGCGCAAAAAAAAAAAAAAAAAAAAATACGCCTCTATTTCAGTCATATTATCGACTTTCCTAGAGAAGTATTAAAGAAGACAGCGGCAAATGTACCGTTGCAAAACCAGCAGATGATAGCATTTCGAAATAAAACGGCAGCTGTTATGAAGTGCGCGGCAAAGATAATAATAATACAACTATTATTTCCTTTTTTTTTTCAACGACAGATGTCGCTTACGAGCGCACGTGCCGCGCCGTATGTTTTCGCACCTGGCATTTCGTAATGGTACATGTGGTTACATTTTACCCAATGCCAGAACAAAGAAAGACGACGACGGTTGAAGCTTTATGTTTTAAGAATAACAATTATGCTATTTTTAAGCTTAAAGCTCAAAGAAACTCTTTTAACCTACAAAAGTATTACAGTTATTATTTTTAAATGAAAGGGGACAACACACGGCTCATCTGATTATAAGTGACTATCGCCGCCCAAGAAACCAGAGGAATTGCAGGTGCGTTGCGGGCCTTTTAAAAGGAGAAGAGTCTCTTCTTGAAGGTTCATATCTAGTATCGATCCGGAAAATCTCTGGTGGTAGCTGATTCCACAAGGCGAATCCTTTGTGGAATGCAAGGAAGAAAACTTCCATTAAATCTAGTGGTGGTGAACCGCCATGTATCCAGACGGTTTGGATGTTATCGCAAGTTGTATAAATCGCGATGACAGAATTTCGCAATTGAAATTAATCTAAACAATTCCGATGTGCCCTCCCAGTGGTAAATGCGATAGAAGTAAAATAAAAATAAAAAGCTTTATAGTCACATTTAACATTTGCAAAAATGAAAAACACTACTCGAAGATTAAGAAGTAAGGAAGCAATGCATAGGTGTCTTCACAAGTAACATGATGGACAATAATTCATATAGCGCTGGACCCAATTAATTTTGTAGAAATTGTGCTAATTTTTTTCATACATGGTAGAGCCATGCTGCAGTTATATTAGTAGTATAGTTGTAGCACGAATGGGTCGGCTCAACCGTGGAAGGACCACGCTCTCACAGAATACCAGCGTGAAATAGTAGCTTAATGCTGCTGTTTCGTATGGTGAATGTAGAGAACCCGCTCTTCATCTTATTCATACAACATCTGCATTTTGATTTGTAATCGAGGATAGATGTCTATGGGCCACAGCAACCACTTATCATCAGATGGACTGTGTGCTCGTTTGTCACCCAATCTTACATAAAAAAATTCCTATCACAAATTTTCGGCATTCAATCTATTAAGATTCATCAACGAAATTCGTCATTTTCTTCTATGTTTGCTTTGATGAACCTCCTAGTAAAAGTCGCATGAAATGTTTAAATCACTTATTATTTAAAGTGAATTTAATTTGAATTGAAATAATGCGTATTTTCGTAATTTTTCATGGATTTAGCAAGGAAACGCAACGAGCGATCTGCGGGGATTGGAGGAAAATGGAGTAAAATTTCAAAATCACATTTTTTTAATTTCGTAAATATTCTATATATTATGTTATATAAATATATACTTACAATTAATATCAATATACGTTTTTGCTTTAAAAAAAGGTCATCAAAGGTTACTTTACAGAAATAATAACAAATATGAAAGATTTATTATTATGATTTGTTTTAATATACGAATTACCATCATCCCTATTATTATTATGGACGCCACACACGGTCAGTTCAACTGATCATTCCAACTGATCAGTTCAAACTAAAACTGTTGATATTTTTTTAAATATTAAATTTTCGATATGTCGGTAATTATAAATATATCAATATTGGAGTTTTATATATAAGTATATTAATCTATATATCGAAAAAAATATTTACAATTTTAGTTTGAACTGATCAGTTGGAATGATCATTTGAACTGACCTTGTGTGGCGACCATTATAGCCTTCCACAAGTTCACTTCCGAACGAAGGCCTCCCAAAAGAAATGCAACAAAAGGAGCCTGAGGTACTTGCATCTATTGACTTCATGCACCTCTTACCCAGTTCATCATGCGATGTAGTGACGGGGCGCCCTAACACTTCACTTACCGGCACGACGCTGCCATTCGATAAAATTGTTTCCCATCGGTTCTTCGAGCTATATGTCATAAAACTATAAAAATATCCAGACTTCGATAAAAATTAGCACTGCTGCAGTAGGTATCTGCGGTAGCATACGCTTAGTTGTAATCCTTCTATTTATAGTGTTTGAATTTCGCACGGAACAAGGATTTAGGTATGTGGCCGACAAATTAATGTTCCGGGTCTGGATGTTTGCCCTTGTGTAATTTATGTATGTCAACTGATATGATACAGAAGGAAAATTCTAGTTTCACACTCACACCATTAAAAAAAATTAAAAAATAAAGTTTTAAAAAAATATTAACAATGCTTATAAACATTACTAATATTCCCCTTAACCACTCGTGGTAAGCTTAAATTGCTTGTGTTACGAGTGGTTCACGCCAGTAGTCGAACGGCGGATTTGAACCACCATTTCACCACATAGGTACACAATACTGAATAGTAGCAACAATAAATACTAAATGTAATATTATACTACATTGTATACTACACAGCTTTATTCCAAGACAAACAGAAACAGAAACAATGATACCGGAAAACTTTCGTATCTAGGTCGCAGCTTTTATTAAATTTTGCGAGTAAATTTACTGCTGAAGATACTATAAAGGAAAATATTCTTTCTAAATAATAGTAGGGGGCAAGTGAATATTTATTACTGTTTTCATATACCAATAAATTGAGAAGTGAGTAGCAAAGTTGAAAGGAATTTATTATAATGTATTGCGTATTATATA